GGCTTCATCCTGTGGCTTGAACAAGGCAGGCTCTTTCCTATCTCAGAGTCTAGTCTAAGCTTAACTGAGAAATCAGCTCCACAGGCAGGGGGAGCACGTTAGCTAACCTGTTCCAGTCCAGAGGAGGGTCCCATATTATTCATCACTCTCTGCTGCCCTCCAGGGGTCATTTAAAGAATCATGAGGCAGAACTTTGGGAGGCCAAGGCAAGTGGATTGCCTGAGCCCAAGGGTTTGAGACCCACCCGGGCAACTTGGCGAGACCTTGTTTCTACAATAAATCAAAAATTAGCCGGGCGTGGTAGCGTGCGCCTGTAATTCCGGCTACTTGGAAGTCAGAGGCGGAAGGATCACTAGAGCCCAGCAGGCTGAGGCTGCGGTGGCCGGGAGCGTGCCACTACACTACAGTCTGAGTGACATAGTGAGACTCCAACTCAAAAAAAAAAAAAAAAAAAGAATCATGAGCCAGCTGGGCATGGTAGCTCACGGCTGTAAATCCTAGTACTTTAGGAGGCTAAGGTGAGAGGAGTGCCTGAGCCCATGGGTTTGAAACCAAACCGGACAACTTGGTAAGACCTTGTCTCTACAATAAATCAAATAATCAGCTGGGTGTAGTGGCGTGCACCTGTGGTTCCAGCTACTTGGAAAACTGAGGCAGAAGAATTGCCTGAGCCTAGCAGGTTGAGGCTTCAGTAGCCTTGAGTGTGCCACTGTACTCCAGCCTGGGCAACAGTGAGACTCTGACTCAAAAAAAAAAAAAAAAGAAAAGAAAAGAATCATGAGCCTTTCCAGAAACTTAATCAGCTCTGAAATTTTAAGGATAATGAGGCTAAAATGGATTATCCTCTGGCTTCCCTGAAAGGAGGAATCACTGAAACACAGATAAGGGTTAGAAATTTTGTCTATATGCTGAAGCCCAGCAGGTCGACACTGGGGTAGCTATGAGTGTGCCACTGCATTCCAGCCTGGGCGACGGAGTGAGACTCCAACTCAAAAAAAAAAAAAAAAAAAAACCCAAGAAATTTTATCTATAATTATTGATAGAGGCTGGACATGGTGACTCATGCCTGTAATCCTAGCACTTTGGGAGGCCAAGGTGGGAGGATTGCTTGAGCCCAGAAGTTTGAGACCGATCTGGGCAACATAGCAAGACTTTGTCTCTACAAAAAAATTTTTAAAAATTAGCCAGGCATGGTGGTGCACACCTGTAGTCCCAGATAATGGGGGGCTGAGGCAAAAGGATCACCTGAGCCCAATAGGTTGAGGCTATAGTGAGCCGTGAGCATACCACTGCACTCCAGCCTGGGCGAAAGAGTGAGACTCTGACTCAAAAAAAAAAAAAAAAAAAAGATTGATGATATCGTTCCTTTGAAAATTTTGCTTTTGTAAATCTTTGATAATGCATATAACACCTTTTGTACTACATATGTGTAATTTATAAGTAAATATATGTTATATATATCTATTTTATTTGATTAATCAACCCATATAAAGTTTGAGTTCCAGCTACTTGGAAGACTGAGGCAGAAGGATCGCCAGAGCCCAGCCAGTAGACACTGGGGCGGCCATGAGCGTGCCACTGTACTCTAGCCTGGATGACGGAGTGAGATTCCAACTTAAAAAAAGAAAAAGAAAAGACAACTTGGCGAGGTGCAGTGGCTCATGCCTGTAATCACAGCACTTTGAGAGGCTGAGGTGAGAGGATTGCCTGAGCCCGCTGGTTCGAGACCAGCCTGGGCAACTTGGCAAGACCGCATCTCTACAATGAATCAAAAAATTAGCCAGGTGTGGTGGTGCGTGCCTGTAGTTCCAGCTACTTGGAAGGCTGAGATGGAAGGATTGCCTAAGCCCAGCAGGTCGAGGCTGCGGTGGCTGTGAGCATGCCATTGCACTCCAGCCTGGGCGACAGAGTGAGACTCTGACTTAAAAAAAAGAAAACTCAATTTACCTGTCTATCCAGTTATCTATTTAATGCATTCCATTTTTTTTTAACTCATCACTATACTAACAAGAAATTTAATGCATTTTAGACAGTGGGACCTAACTATAGATGTATAGAGATCTGACCCTAGGAATTTGCAGGGAGTTTTATGTCAAATTAGCAGTATTGAATATTAGAAGTAGAGATTTTTAGCCTTTTCTTAGAGAAAACTGATGTTAAAGAGAGAGGCAGGGAACTTCTCATTAATTTTCTTTTTTTTTTTTTAGTTGGTATCACCCAGACTGGAGTGCAGTGGCACTCTCCTGGCCACCGCAGCCTCGACCTGCTGGGTTCTGGCGATCCTTCCGCCTCAACCTTCCAAGTAGCTGAAACTACAGGCGCGCGCTACCACACCCAGCTAGTTTTTGACTTATTGTAGAGATGAGGTCTCGCCAAGTTGCCCAGGCGGGCCTCGAACCTTCAGGCTCAGGCAATCCACTCACCTCAGCCTCCTAAGGCACGGGATTACAGGCTGAGCCACTGAGCCTGGCTTAATTTTCTTTCTTTTCTTTTTTTTTGGGCTGGGGTCTCACTCTGTCTTCAGGCTGGAGTGCAGTGGCCTGGTCACGACAATCATGACTCACGGCAGCCTTGACTTCCTGGGCTCAGGCGATCCTTCTGCCTTAGCCTCCTGAGTAGCTGGGACTGCAGGTGTGTACCGCCACACCCATGTACTTTTAAAATTTTTTGTAGAGACAAGATTTTGCCAGGTTGCCCAGGCTGGTCTTAAAACCCTGGGCTCAAGTGATCCTCCCACCTCAGCCTCCCAAAGTGATGGGATTACAGTCACCCACCACACCCAACCTACTCATTAATTTTTAAAAAGGCAATTTGGTTATGTCAATATTAATTATTAGAAAACAGGAGCCTGCTCAGTGGCTCAGCCTGTAATCCCGTGCTTTGGGAGGCTGAGGTAAGTGAATTGCCTGAGCCCACAGGTTGGAGACCCGCCTAGGCAACTTGACAAGACCTCATCTCTACAATAAATCAAAAAATTAGCTGGGCGTGGTAGCGTGTGCCTGTATTTCCAGCTACTTGGAAGGATCGCCGGAGCCCAATAGGTCGAGGCTGCGATGGCCAGCAGCGGCCACTGCACTCCAGTCTGGGCGACAGAGTGAGACTCTAACTCAAAAAAAAAAAAAAAAGAAAAGAAAACAGGAACCAGGCTGGGTGCAGTGGCTCATGCCTATAATTCTAGACTAGCCTGGGCAACTTGATGAGACCTTATCTCTACAATAAATCAAAAAATTAGGTGGGTGTGGTGGTGTATGCCTGTAGTTCCAGCTACTTGGAAGGTTGAGGTAGAAGGATCACCTGAGCCCAGAAGGTCGAGGCTGCAGTGGCCGTGAACATGTCACTGCACTCTAGACTGGGTGACAGAGTGAGACTCCAACTCAAAAAAAAAGAAAAAACAAGCATATTTCTTGTCTTTTGACCTTGGCTGGGTCCCAAGACTTAGGCACTTTTGAGGTGAAGCTGGCATGCTTTGTCGAGGCTCTAGGTAGGCCTCATTGGCAGAGCAGCTCCTGAGAAGAAAACCCAGGGCCACTGTGGGTCAATCGTCGTTTCACTAACCCTAAAGGAGACACCAAGGACCAAGACCCTCCTCTTTTTTTTTTTAAACAGTGTTTCTTGTGATCTTGACTATTTGTGATTTTGGTCACTTCAACTAAGAAATATCCCTTCTCTGAGTACCTGTGACACTGTTTGAATCCCTCCTTGACATTTGCCACGGCGTGTCTGTGTTTGTGTGTGTTCTCTTCTACCTGTGCAATTCCGAGTTCCTGAAGTCAGGGATGGCTCTTCCCTGACTTGTACTTTTCCAAATATTCCTGGGGCAAAATCACTCTCACTTGATAACTGCTGGTCTAGAGACTGGATAATGTAGGTTAGAGTCCTGGGTTTGCCTTAATCTCACCTAGCTAGTCAAACAAGTTTGCCCGTGGGCTTTTTAAGTTTATTCTCCTAAAAATTGAGGACTGAACATATTGGGTACTTCATCTGGGTTGTGTGGGTAGCTTTAGGGAGACAGTAATCCCTCGAAAATGTATGTGAATTTTTCTAGGGATAACATCCTTCATTTTCATCATCTTCTCAAACTTATCCATGATCCCAAGAAGATTAAACTCAGATCATTTAATATATAAAGTTATTTTTATCTCTTAAGATACAGAGGCCCTAACTTTTTCTCAGTATACATTTTTTCCCTTTTATGAGCACAATTTGAGACTAGCAAATGCTGAGAAAACACTTTGTGCTACCAGGACTCACTATGTTAGCAGATGCCACTTTCAGTACTGTAATTCCTACTGTAGCTTTTTTTTTTTTTTTTGAGTCAGAGTCTTACTCTGTTGCACCAGGCTAGAGTGTAGTGGCATGCTCATGGCCACCGCAGCCTCAACCTGCTGGGCTCTGGGGATCCTTCTACTTTATCCTTCCAAGTACTTGGAACTATAGGTGTGTGCTACCACGCCTGGCTTATTTTTTGATTTACTGTAGAGACGAGGTCTCACCAAGTTGCCCAGGCTGGTCTCAAACTCTTGAGCTCAGGCAATCGTCTCGCCTCAGCCTCCCAAAATGCTGGGATCACAGGCTTGAGCCACCATGCCCGGCCCTACTGTAGTTTTTAAAAAATGGAGTCCTGACTCAGTGACAATGGGGTGAGTGAGCCAAGATACCTGTGCACACATTAGAGTCCAGGTGATGGAAGGAGTGTGTTTGTCATTTAGCATTCAACCCAGTGGCCTTTGGCTCCCAGCATGTTTTGTGCAACTCTGCCAGCTGTGTCCCAGGGCACCTCTGTGTCATGGACTGCACACATCCATGGTTTTTGGGCCCCTGGATCCTCTGTTCAGCTGTTGCTTTACAAGTCTATCGCGTTTGCTACAACAGGGTTATCCATAGCCTCCGCTGAGACCCTAGTCAGGTGCTCCCTTGGGAAACAGGGACGTGCCTCCCAGTTTCATGTTGTCCTTGCTGCTGCATTCGGTTATGAGCCTGCCTGTCCTCTTCTTTTGCAGGTGAATGTGGAGGGCAAAGCCGGTCCTCTGTCACTTCTACAGATGGCCTCCCCTAGCGGCCTCTGTGTCTTGATTCGCTTGCCCAAGCTGACCTGTGGAGGAAAAACACTACCAAGAACGTTACTGAACATCTTGGCAGATGGTGCCATCTTCAAGGTTGGAGTGGGCTGTTTCGAAGACGCCGGCAAGCTTCTGCAGGACTATGGCCTCGTGGTCAGGGGGTGCCTGGACCTCCGGTACCTGGCCATGCGGCAGAGGTGTGCTGTGTGTGAATGCTGGGGTTCCTGAGCTGTGGGACAGATGTTCTAGCAAGACTTGCAGATTACTGGGAATCAATTGAGGGATATTCGGAAATCTTCAGAAACCTAGAGGCTTCTGAGAGGCGTATTGCATTTGTGAGGGGATAGTCCAAATTTTTTTGTTTTTATTTTTTAATTACATCTTTGTTGGCAGGAATGCCATTCCAATTTCTTTCCTTTTCTTTTTTTTGAGTCAAAGTCTCCCAGACTGGAGTACAGTGGCACAATCGTGGCTTACTGTAGCATCAAACTCCTGGGCTCAAGTAATCCTCCCTCTTCATCCTCCCGAGTAGTTGGAATAACAGGCCTGTGCCACCATGCCTGGCTAATTTTTTTATTTTTTTGCAGAGACAAGGCCTCTCTCACTATGTTGCCCAGGCTGGTCTCAAACTCCTGGGCTCAAGCAATCCTCCGGCCTGGCCTCCCAAAGTGCTGGGATTACAGGCATGAGCCACTACACCTGCTGGCATTCTAATTTCTGAGAAAACTTTAGTTACCTAGAATTGGTCTTTTTTAGATGGAATATTAATAAGCTAACTTTGTAAGCTACAGACTATATACTGATGGTCCTGCTGGCTAAATTGGGACTGCAGATGGTTTTTAAATTTTTTTCTCTATATGATATTTTTGGGAAGTTCTATTTTAAATGCAAAAGATTTTAATGTAAAATGTGTATTTCTGGCTTCTCTTGAGAAATGAGATGATCTGACTGCACTGAGTCCGTAGCTCCAGATGGCAGCAGTTGGCGGGGTAGTGGCCGTCCCCTGTAGATGAATGTACTCTGCTTGGATTACCAGAGTCCCCGCTACTCTCACCATAACCTGAACTCCTCCTGATAAGCATTTGGGTTGCAAACCCCACCTCAGACCAGAAGTGATGGTAGTCCTCACCCTGGTCTGAGGAAGAGAGATTCTTCTTTCCCTCAGAATTTTATTCCTGTGGAAATTAGACTCTGGTCTGATTTTGGGGGGCAGGGCCTCCTCCTGTGTGCACAGGCTGTTGTTAGGACAACATGGGCTGACACAGCCTCTTGTCCTGCCTCAGATGACAGACAACGGAAGGCTGCAGGATTCCAGAAGCTAGGAGAAGGCCAATTAAATTCTGGGCTTATCATTCTTTTTTTAGTATAAAATGAAATTTTGATTTGTTAGTTTGGCTTATATTAATAGAATAAATAAAATAAATTTTAATTTGTAGTTTGGCTTATATAAATAAAGCTCTTCTAGTGAAGTATACATTTTTTTCAAGTGATATATATTAAATGTAAACGTATTTGGCGTATAGCAGCCAAAGCTGCCAATCCCCAGTCCCCCTCCCTTGGCATTGCCTCCCAGAGGTGCTTACTGTCACTCTGCGACTGGAGGCTGTGTGGATAGAAGCTAGAAGCTGACATGGAGCTGATGCCTGGGTAGGAGTCCCCGAGCTGCCCCTTATCAGAGGGGCAAGGTATGAAACCTCTCTGTTCCTCAGTTTCCTTGTCTATAAAGTAGAGAGGAAAATGTTCCCACCTCCTAGGATTGGTGTAGAACTAACTAAATAAGTTAAACTGTGTGAACTTACAACAGTGTTGGACAGTAGAGTGCTGTGTACATTTTAACGGTTTCTGCCACTGTCATCGTCACTATCACCTCCAGCACTAACATCGCCCGATTGGTTGCCTCAGATCCTTTTCTGTGCACTCACAGTCATCTTTTGAATATATAGAAATTAGAGGTGCATTGGATTCTCTCTATGGCTAATGCAGAATGGCCATTTAGCTGAAACTGAGTATTACTGTGGACTTTTCTGGAAATAAGAAGGAAACTTTTATCAGGCCTTTCATTTTTTAGTGTAATTTTATTACAGTTTTAAAAATTAGGCTGGGCTCAGTGGCTCAGCCTATAATCCCAGCACTTTGGGAGGCCAAGGCAAGTGGATTGCCTGAGCCAGTGGGTTCGAGACCCACCTGGGCAACTTGGCAAGATCTCCTCTCTACAATAAATAAAAAATTAGCCAGGCATGGTAGTGCACGCCTTTGGTTCTGGCTGCTTGGAAGGCTGAGGCGGAATGATCGCCGGAGCCCGGCAGGTCGAAGCTGCGGTGGCCTGGAGTGTGTTGCTGCACTCCAGTCTGGACAACAGAGTGAGACTCCAACTCAAAAAAAAAAAATTATCCTTGTTTTATTATTGGATATTTAGTAATGAAAATTTTTTGACATTACAGTGCAACAAGTTTGACATTATAGTGCTGGGATTGCTCCTGCTGTTTTCATGATGATCATTGTTGCTTTCTTTCTTTCTTTTCTTTTTTTTTTTTTTTTTTTTTGTGAGTCAGGGTCTTGCTCTGTTGCCTGGGCTGGAGTACAGTGGAATGATCATGACAGTCACAGCTCACAGAAACCTCTACCTCGTGGGAATACGAGTTCTTCCACGTCAGCCTCCTGAGTAGCTGGGACTATGGGCATGTGCTACCATGCCTGGCTAATATATTTTATTTATTTATTTATTGAGTTGGAGTCTCACTCTGTCGCCCAGACTGGAGTACAGTAGCATGCTCATGGTCACCCCAGCGTCAACCTGCTGGGCTCAGGTGATCCCTCTGCCTCAGTCTTCCAAGTAGCCAGAACTACAAGCGTGTACTTCCATACCTGGCTAATTTTTAAAAAAAATTTATTGTAGAAATGACGTCTCACCAAGTTGCCCAGGCTGGTCTCTAACCTGTGGGCTCAGGCAGTCCTTTCACCTTGGCCTCCCAAAGTGCTGGGATTACAGGCTTGAGCCACTGCACCTGGCCCCTTTTTAATTTTTGGTAGAGATGAGGTTTCCGTATGTTGCCCAGGCTGGTCTCAAACTCCTGGACTCAAGTGATCCTACTGTCTTGGCCTTCCAAAGTGCTGGGATTACAGGTGTGAGCCACCATGCCTGACCTACTTTCAACTGACTTTCAACTAGGAGGAGCAAAATTTCTGGAACAGGGTGGTAATGCTATATTTTTTTCTTCATACTCTTTAGATTTAAAAAAAATTTTTTTAAATTTATTCTTTTATCTGGGCTCGGTGGCTCAGCCTGTAAACCCGCGCTTTGGGAGGCTGAGGTGAGTGAATTTCCTGAGCCTGTGGGTTCGAGACCTGCCTGGGTAACTTGGCGAGACCTCATCTCTGCAATAAATCAAAAAAATTAGCCGGGTGTGGTAGCACGCACCTGTAGTTCCAGCTACTTGGAAGGCTGAGGCGGAAGGATCACCGGAGCCCAGCAGGTTGAGACTGCGGTGGCCGGGAGCGTGCCATTGCACTCTAGTCTGGGCAACAGAGTGAGACTCCAACTAAAAAAAAAAAAAAATTATTATTTTCATTGAGACAGGATCTCACTCTGTTGCCCAGGCTGGAGGACAGTGCCATGATCCTGGCTCATTGCAACCTTGACCTGCTGGGCCTAGGTGATTCCTCTGCCTCAACATTCGGATATCTTTAGATTTTTTATATGCTATACTAAGTTGACTTACTCTGGAAGTTGTTGTACATGATTTTGGAACCTTTCTCAGTTGAAACTTTGAAGTGGCAAATGTGGCATTTTGTTTTTAATTTATCCTCAAGAGATGTGAAACTTTCCCAAATATGCCTTTTTACTTTTGTGACAGGATCTCACTCTGTCACCCAGGCTGGAGTGCAGTGATGTGATCATAGCTCACTGCAGCCTTGAACTCCTGGGCTCAAGCTGTCCTCCTGCCTACGCCTCCTGAGTAGCTGGGACTACAGGTATACACCACCAAGCCCAGCTAATTTTTAGTTTCTGTAGAGATGGGTGGGGCATCTCACAATGTTGCCCAGGCTGGTCTTGAACTCCTGGGCTCAAGTGGTCCTCCTGCCTTGTCCTCCCAAAGTCCTGGGGTTATAGGCAGAGCCACCATGCCCATCTCTTAAATATGACATTTTATAAAAAGACTAGTGCCCTGTCCAGTAGGAGTACTGGTTTCAAGAAATATGGATCACCCGTGTTTGGAAAACTACATTAACTGTTGAAAAGAATGAACTAATGACATTTGCACTTATTCTTTTTTTTTTCTTTTCTTTTCTTGAGTTGGAGTCTCACTCTGTCACCCAGACTGGAGTGCAGTGGCTGCTCCCGGCCACCGCAGCCTCCACCTGCTGGGCTCCGGCGATCCTTCCACCTCAGTCTTCCAAGTAGCCAGAATTACAGGCATGCGCTACCACGCCCGGCTGATTTTTTGATTTATTGTAGAGATGACATCCCGCTGCCCAGGCGGGTCTCGAACCCGCGGGCTCAGGCAATCCACTCACCTCAGCCTCCCAAAGGCGCGGGATTACAGGCTGAGCCACCGAGTCCGGCTGCACTTATTCTTATGGAAGGATGGCCATGGTACATTAAGTGAACAGAGCAAGTTGCAAAACAAGAAACAAAACAGATGCCAAAAACAACATCTCCTTCATCTGACCACCTGTGTGTGCACACAGAAGTCTGGAGGGGCCACCTGTTCCAGGGGTGGCTTTGTGGGGGGAGGACTTCTCCTTCTCACCTACTGTATTTCTCTGTTGTCTGAATTTTTAATAACAAGCATTCATTTATTTTGCAATTTTTTAATGGAACAAAAGAAAGTTTTATGTCTCCCTCAAATCCTTAATTTCCATTATTTGAACCAAGGCCTTATGGTTTTATTTAAGTGTGCCTAGGCCTTTTGTGTTTTGAGTCTGTGCAGCCTTTTGGGGTGATGATGCCCATCAGTTTTACAGCTTGTTTTGCAGAGAAGTCTTCCTTTTCTTCATCGTTGTCATGCTTGTGCTTCCTGCAGTCTCTGATGGTTACTGCATGTTGCAACACCCACAGAGCCTTCCCTCCACGCCTCCTGCTCTGCACCTGCTAGACCTCACTTGGTGCCAACGGGTCACTCTGCATCTACAGACCTGTGTGTTCTTCCTTTTTTTTTTTAGTTGAAGTTTCACTCTGTCACCCAGACTGGAGTGCAGTGGCCGCTTCTGGCCACTGCAGCCTCGACCTACTGGGTTCCGGCAATCCTTCCGCCGCAACCTTCCAAGTAGCTGGAACTACAGGCGCACGCTACCACGCCCTGCTAATTTTTGATTTATTGTAGAGATGAGGTCTCGCCAAGTTGCCCAGGCGGGTCTCGAACCTGCAGGCTCAGGCAATCCACTCACCTCAGCCTCCCAAAGCGCAGAATTACAGGCTGAGCCACCGAGCCTGGCTGACCCATGTGTTCTTAGTGTCACATTTATCTCTGGGTTAGAGTCTCCAATCCATGGACAATTAATTTTTTACCACCCTGTGTTGATTTTAATCAGTAAGGGTTGGAAGAATAGAAAGAATAGGTTGTTACGATGACTGGTTTCATTGTACTTTTACTTCCCCTGTGAAAATAGTTTCCTCGTTTGTCATATTTGAGAAGTCACACATGAACACTATGGGTGGCTACTAGGTTGTTTATAGTTCTTTCCTACTGTGCATAGTGCTGCACACATAGTAAAGACACCATAGTGTTTATTTGTCCTGGAGGGAAATTCCTAGAAGGGGCATTGCTGGATCACAGAATTTTCATATTCTTAAAATTTATTTTGAGTCAGACTCTCTCTCTCTATAGCCCAGTCTGGAGTGCAGCCTTGACCTTCTGGGCTCATAGATAATCCTCCTGCCTCTGCTTTCCAAAGTGCTGGAATTATGGGCATGAGCCACTGTGCCTGGCCTGTGTTCAAATTTTTAATAGCTACTTATTAATTATTAAGTTGTTTTTGACAAAGGTTATAAAATGTACAGTTCACAAGTTTTACATGAGACTGCCTAATTCTTTATGCTCCACTGATAATACAGGTTTTAAAAATTTTTTGAGTAGGAATCTCATTTTGCCATCCAGACTGGAGTGCAGTGGCACGCTCCGCTCACAGCCACCCCAGCCTTGACCTGCTGGGCTCAGGTGATCCTTCTGTCTCAGCCTTTCAAGTAGCTGGAACCACAGGTGTGCTCTAACATACCCAGCCAATTTTTTGATCTTTATTATAGAGACAAGGTCTCATCAAGTTGCCCAGGCTGATCTCAAACCCCTGGACTCAGGCAGTCCTCTTGCCTCTGCCTCCCAAAGTGCTAGGACTACAGGCATGAGCCACTGTGCTTGGCTGATACTATAGTTATTTAGAAAAATCTTTGCAATATGATAGATAACAATGATCATTTTCTTTGATATCTAGTGAGATTACCTGTCATCTGTTTATTTTCCATTTATACATCTTTTAAAAATTTTAGTGTTCATGTTCTTTGCCCATTTTGATGCACGATCTCATTTATTTCTTATAGAAACAATTTGCTCTGTAATGGGCTTAGCCTGAAATCGCTTGCGGAAACCATTCTGAACTTTCCCCTTGACAAGTCCCTTCTCCTTCGCTGTAGCAACTGGGATGCCGAGACCCTTTCAGAGGACCAGGTACTTCTTAGCAGAATAGTTGAAGACAGAAGGTTCTTGCTCCTGAAGTATAATTGGTTTTAAAATTGTCATCCTCATGTACGATAAAAAGTATGGGTGGGGATGCCTTAAGTAGACTCATTGGCTGGTGATACTCAGGTAACTGCTCTACCATAATGTATATGCCGCCTACATGAGAGAGAAAGAGTTCATTTATTTTTTGAGTATTTACTATATACTAGACATTTCAGCAAATGTAAATGTAGTTTCTCCCCTTGAATACAAGTGCATAATTAAAAAAAACAATAGAAAAGACTTGTTCTAAGAAACAGTTAGTAGCTCACTTCATGACCTTGCCTCCTCCTGCTCCTTCCTTCCCTGAGGTAGCTGCTCTTAGGTCTTTCTGGCAATTATCCTTAGATTTCTAGTTCATATGCCCGCCTTTTTCTTTCCTATTTGTGCATATTCTCTCTGGCTTCTTCCTGTGGACGATGTGGCTCAGAGCTCTGGCAGCTCCCCGCCCCCAGACAAATAACTTGTTTTCTTCCTCGTCCTCCCAACTCAGCCAAGTCGTCATTTTTCATTAGGTTGCTGTCCAGTGTTTGTACTGATGTTATTTACAGCTGAGCCTCACAGTAAACTGCAGCAATGTTCTCTTCCTGTACTGCTTCTTGTTTTCCTGGGACTGATGGTTGGTATTTTTGGTTGCTGAGTGTTCTGTATGCTGCTTACTGGTTCAGTCCCACACCCTCCCCCCAAAGCTGTAGGTCTCCTCTTGTCTGGACAGACACCCGTTGGTGACTTCTGGTTTCCTTTTTCCTGGAAGTCCCCTCCTGGCCCTCTGACACCCTGCCCTCTCAGGACTGCTTGTATGAGGCCTGCTGCCCAGCTCACCTCCTGGAATTTGCAGCTGCCACAAGCCACTGTCCCCTCATCTGGGTCTGTGGCAAAGCCTCTGTTGTCTTCGCGCCTCCTGTCCCTTCTTGTCTGTGGAGTTCATTCATGATGACTTCCTGAGCAAGGGAGCCAGGAAATTAGTTTATGACACCCTGTTTGACTGGAAGCTTCTTGGCTTGTGGGTTGGCTGACTACAGAATTTTAGACTGGAATCCTTTTTCTCCAGAACTTTGAAGGCAGTGAGTGCTACTTGTCTTCTGGCTTCCAGGGTTGATGTTAAGTGCATGACCTGTTTTTTTCTGGAAAATCTTATCTTTATCCTTAGCTTTTGGAAATTGATGATGACAGATGTGTGTTGGCCATTTTTCATTCATTATATTAGAATTCAGTGGACTCTTTCAATGTGGAAACTTCATGTCTTTCAATTCAGGAAATTATTGTGTAATTGTTTCTTTGATTCTAGAACTGATTTTTTTTTTTATGTTGGACCCCTTGAATCAATCCTCTAGTTTTCTTAGAAAAATATTTTCTCTCCTATTTTCCATCTCTGTTTTTACCTTTTAGGAAATTTCCTGAAGTTTATATTCCCGTTTTTCTATTGGATTTTTAGTTATTTCTATCATATTTTTCAGTTGTAAGAGCTTCTTGGTCTAGTCTTCTTTGAATATTCACTTTTACTTTTTAAAATTGTTATTTATTTATTTAATTTATTTATTTTTTGAGTTGGAGTCTTACTCTGTCACCCAGACTGGAGTGCGGTGGCATGTTCCCGGTCGCCGCAGCCTTGACCTGCTGGGAACGGCGATCTTTCCGCCTCAGCCTTCCAGGTAGCCAGAACTACAGGCGTGCGCTACCATGCCCAGCTAATTTTTGATGCATCGTAGAGACGAGGTCTCGCCAGGTTGCCCAGGTGGGTCTTGAACCCACTGGCTCAGGCAGTTCACTCGCCCTGGCCTCCCAAAGTGCTGGGATTACAGCCTGGCCAATTTTTATTTTTTTTAAGTCAGAGTCTCAATCTCTTGCCCAGGCTGGAGTGCAGTGGCATGCTCACAGCCACCCCAGCATCAACCTGCTGGGCTTAGGCGATCCTTCCGCCTCAGCCTTCCAAGTAGCTGGAACTATAGCCGTGCGCTACGATGCCTGGCTAATTTTTTTGCTATATTGTAGAGATGAGGTCTCACCAAGTTGTCCAGGCTGATCTCGAACCCCTGGGCTCAGGCAATCCTCTCACCTTGACCTCCCAAAGTGCTGGGATTACAGGCTTGAGCCACTGCTCCTGGCCTGAATATTTACTTTTAAAATAGCTTTCCTTTTTTGTTTAATAGATATAGTATCATCTTTTGTCTTAGGTAACTAAAGATTTCTGAAGTTTCTTTTACTTCCTACGTTGCCTCTTTTCTCTCTGAGTTCCTTTTTTGAAATGTTTGTTTTGGTCTTTGTGCTTTTCATTTTCAAGGTTCTATCAGGTGTTTAGATCTGTTCATATTTAAGGTTACTTTTTTGAAATGTTTGTTTTGGTCTTTGTGCTTTTCATTTTCAGGGTTCTATCAGATGTTTAGATCTGTTCATATTTAAGGAGACATTAAAAAGCTGAGTGAATCCATCAACTGATGGATAGATAAATAAAATGTGGTATATTATTTAGTAATAATCTCTTTCTTATAGTATTATAATTGTTCAGGGTCCTCTTATGAGTGAGAACATATGGTACTCTGTTCTTTTTTTCTATGATAGATCACTGAGTATGATCGACTCTGACTCCATCCAAGTTGCTGCGAAGTCCAAATGTTTGTCCTTTTTTATGGCTGTATAAAATTCCGTTTTGTATATGTAACACATTTTTTTAATCCAGTCCAGCTTCGATGGTCAACATGATTGATTCCATGTTTTTGCTATTGTGAATAGAGCTGCAACAAACATGTGTGCAGGTATCTTTTTTTTTAGAATGATTTCAGTTCCTCCGGGTATATTCCCAATAGGGGAATTGCTGGATCAAATGGAAGGTCAATTTCTAGTTCTTTCAGAAATCACCACACCGTTTCCCAAGGAGATTGCACTAGTTTGCATTCCCACCAGCAGTGTAGAAGCATTCCTTTTTCTCTGTATCCTCACTAGCATCTGTTGTTGTTTGTTTTATTAATGATGGCCGTTCTTACTGGGGTTAGGTGGTATCTCAGTGTGGTTTTGATTTGCATTTCTCTGATGATGAGTGAGACTGAGCACTTTTTTATGTGTCTGTTGGCTGCCTGTATATCCTCTTTTGAGAAGTGTCTATTCATGTTTTTTGCCCACTTTTTATTGGGGCTGTTTTTTTCCTTTTGGTGCATTTGAGTTCCTTGTAGATCCTTTGTCAGATATACAGTTGGCAAATATTTTTTCCTATTCTGTGGGCTGTTTCCTTGCTTTCTTGATGGTTTCTTTTGCTTTGCAGATGTTCATTAGTTTGATGAGGTCCCACTTGTCTATCTTATTTCTTAAGGTATGGGCATTTAGGGTTCTGAACAGGAATTGGTTGCCTTTTCCCATTTCCATAAGGGTGTCTCCTGCATTTTCTAAGATTCTTATAATTTGAGGTTTTATGTTTAGGTCTTTGATCCATTTAGAGTTAATTTTTGTGTATGGAGATAGATAGGGGTCCTGTTTCAATCTTCTGCATGTAGTCAGCCAGTTTTCCCAGGACCATTTAGTGAACAGGTTCTCCTTTCCCCAGTGGTTGTTGTTGGAGGCTTTGTCAAAGATGAGTTGGTTGAGGAATTGAGGCTTTGCTTCTGGAATCTATCCTGTTCCATTGGTCTTTGTGCCTTTTCTTGTACCAATACCAGGCTATTTTGATTACTGTAGCCTTATAGTAAAGTTTGAAGTCTGGAAGTGTGATACCTCCTGCTTTGTTTCTTTTTTAAGGATTGTATTGGCTATTCATGGTCGTTTATGTTTCCATATGAATTTCTGTCTTGTCATTTCCAGGTCTGAGAAGAATAATGTTGGTAACTTACTGGGTATTGTATTGAATCTGTAGATTGCCTTTGGTAGGATGGACATCTTAACAATGTTGATTCTTCCTATCCATGAACATGGAATATTTTTCCATTTGTTTGTGTCTTCTTGGATTTCTTTGGACAGTGTTTTGTAGTTCTCATTGTAAAGATCTTTCACTTCTCTGGATAGGAAGATGCCGAGGTATTTCTTTTTTTTTGTAGCTATTGTGAATGAGATTGTGCTTTTAATTTGGGTCTCTGCCTGCTTGTTGTTGGTGTATAGGAATGCAACTGTCTTTTGCACGTTTATTTTGCACCCTGAGACTTTGCCAAAGGCCTTTATCAGTGCAAGCAGGTTTTTGACAGATTCTCTTGGATTTTCAAGATATAGGATCATATCATCAGCAAAGAGGGATAACTTGACTTACACTTTTTTTTTTTTTGAGTTGGAGTCTCACTCCGTCGCCCAGACTGGAGTGCAGTGGCTGCTCCTGGCCCCCGTAGCCTCGACCCGCTGGGCTCCAGCGATCCTTTCGCCTCAGCCTTCCAAGTAGCTGGAACTACAGGTGCGTGCTGCCACAACCGGCTGATTTTTTGTTTTATTGTAGAGATGAGGTCTCACCAAGTTGCCCAAGCGGGTCTTGAACCCATGGGCTCAGGCGATCCTCTCACTCAGCCTCCCAAGACACGGGATTGCAGGCTGAGCCACCGAGCCTGGCTGACTTACTCTTTTACTATTTGGATACTCCTGATTTCCTTCTCTTGTCTAATTGCCCGAGCTAGGACTTTCAACACAGTGTTGAACAAGAGGGGTGAGAATGGGCAGCCTTGTCTTGTTCCAATTTTCAGGGAAAATGTTTCCAGTTTCTGTCCATTTAGCAATATGTTAACTGTGGGTTTATTGTAGATGGCACTTACTATTTTGAGGTATGTTCCTTCTATACCTAGGTGTTTGAGGGTTTTTATCAAGAAGGGATGCTGGATTTTATCAAAAGCTTTTTCTGCATCTAATGAGATAATCATGTGGTTCTTGTTTTTACATCTGTTGATGTATTTAATTACATTTATGGTCTTGCGAATGTTGAACCAGCCCTGCATCCTGGGGATGAAGCCTAACCTGGTCATGGTGGATGATTTTTGAGATGTGTT